CTCATGGACAGAAACTGGAAGTTGGTTCCACAAGAGAGGAGCTTGATAACTGAAAGCTCTGCCTCCTATTCTACTTTCTACTTTTCAAAATATTCCACTGAATATATTTATTTGTTGAATATCATTTTTTTCTCTGGACGTGTAATATGAAGCAATGRCATTTGTGGAATATTAAATTATGATAAAAGGTCAAGACTGCAGCTTAAAAGTCCAAGTTTAGGAAACTATCAATCATTTCCTTTATTTACAGGGACAAAACTTTCATCATTTCAGAAATGGTACAATAATTAGATTATACAACCAAATTCTTACAAATCCAATTAATGTTAATACTGTAACACACCAGTTACTAAAATTAACATTTTAAATATCTCATTTGCTTCCTGTTTGGGATTTTATTATTTTAAAATTCATAAAGTCAATGCTCGATCCACAGGAAAAAAAAAAAAACAGCTCGTGTTTATCCTCTCCTGCCCCCTGCTGGTCATCTCCATGTTTCACATCATTAACAGAAGGCAGATATCTGAATCTAGTAGGAAATAAATTTATTTCTCAGGCTGTGGTTTAAAGATTAACCTCATATTGTACATTAAATTAAATATATTAAACATCACCACAGTTACAGCTGTAACTAACATTAACCAAAACACTGAAGTTGAACTCATTTTTTCTACAAAAAACTAAAACAATCATTTCTTCTTTGACACAGATCTCACAAACAATAGTTCTGCTTAAAAATATATATCACATCATGTTTATTAAGCATTTTAAAGTTTATAGACATTTCAACCAAATAGTATTTTACAGAACCTGTCAAATATTAACAGCTTCAATTTAAAAAAACAAAAAAAACAAAACTCTTCTCTCTTAGAGCAGAACCAACCTTTTATTTTACAGCATTACAAGAAAACAATGAATCTAAAAAAGTAGACAGTCTATGAAATAAAAATCAAACACATTAAATGACCTTGTGTTGTGGGATCTGTAGCTGGACTTCATGAGAAAGAGTCACTGGTCTGTTTTAACCTGGAGAGGCCAGAACTGTATACAGGTCTCATTAGAAACTCCAAGCATTTAGAAAAGCTGTGGTCAGGACCAAGCTACCAGGTCTGGCTCGGAAAAACTTACCCTACGTAGAACTAGAAAGACCCAAACAAAAGTAGGAGCATGAARGCGACTTACCCTCTGACTAAACACTGAACCAGGCACATCAGTGGATCCAGACCAGAAAAACATCAGAACTCACAATAAAAAGAAAACTTTCATTCAACACTTAAAAAGTGGACATATCATGTTTTTAAATCCTTCTTTCACATTTTAATCACTCAGCTGGAGTCTTTATAAAGTGGAACTACAAAGCTTTGGTCTGAATTTCTCATTTCCAGCCACTCTTTCACCCCTTTTCTGAGGTATGCATCAAAGCAGCTCGTTTTGATGCTGTTCCTTTAAAAGGATCCATGATTAGTTGTAACATTAGAATTTATTTGATAAACAAAAATTTTAGCTGTAAAATAAAGACTGTAAAAATACTGTAGGATGTTTAGTTTTTATCATTTTTAAACTAAAAGTTTAAAAATATATTACACGGTCGGGGCCATTTTATTTACACACAAAGCATTCTGGGTAAATGATGACGTGGATAGGTCCTTGGTATGAGG